AAGTGGGGGGGGAGGGGGTACTCCTCCTGCAGGGACTCCCCCAGGCCCGTCTCGCTCAGAGTACACCTGCATGGGGGGGGGGGGCGCACAAAGCATTGGGTATGACAGACAGAAGGATTTCATTTTTTAATGGGATTTATCCGGATACCAACCTTGATACACGATTATGTGCATGATTAAACGATTCCGCATAACTCGGCGCTTAAGAGTGACTGGAATGTCAAAGAGATCCACCCCTTAAAAAAACGGCTGAGAATGTTTTAAAAAAACACAGCAAACTGTCAGGCTTTGTAAGACTCCGGCTTGCAGAAGCAGAATAGGAGAGATGTCAGTTTTGGGCTTGATGAGAGCGGCGTCCCTGCGGATCCTCCTGTAGCCTCTGGCTGTTCCCCCTTTACCTCTAGGCAACATGGAGAAAAAAACCTTGATTCTCCCAGTCATTTTGCATGGCTGCATCTATATGCAATTAATCACCATCTTACCGTTCCAAAAAAAAAACAAAAAAAAAACAGCAGGCTTCAGAAAAAAGAGCAGCTGGTGCTTTAAGTTACATTTGCCAGGTTTCAGCACAAAGACAGAACAGAACCCAGAGAAATACACACATTATGAAACTATCTTGTAAGATGTGACGGTATTTCATGCTTCGGCAGCAGCCGGTCACCTGGACCACCCTCCCCAGCCCCATGTCTCGACGTGCCGCCAAAACACGGGTTTGCCCATGTACATGTGCACATGTGCGGGCATCACGCCAAGGTGCCAGGTCACCGCGGCCGCTTCACTGTCGTACTTTTGTCAGCTGTGGATGTAAACAACACCAGCAGGAGGGCTGTAGGGTCTTAATAATATAGCCCAATCCAAAGTAGGGGCTTGATAATATAGCCCAATCCAAAGTAGGGTCTTAATAATATAGCCCAATCCAAAGTAGGGGCTTGATAATATAGCCCAATCCAAAGTAGGGTCTTAATAATATAGCCCAATCCAAAGTAGGGGCTTGATAATATAGCCCAATCCAAAGTAGGGGCTTGATAATATAGCTCAGTCCAAAGTAGGGGCTTGATAATATAGCCCAATTAAACGCAGGGGCTTGATAATATAGCCCAATCAAATGCAGGGGCTTGATAATATAGCCCAATCCAAAGTAGGGGCTTGATAATATAGCCCAATCAAATGTGGAGGTTGATAATATAACCCATTTAATAGCCACCCCTCAGCCGGCTACCTTTAGCAGTTGAGGATGTTCTGTGAGACTCTCACACCAGCCCAGGTCACAGCCCACAGCCTCCTCCATCTCCAGGCCCTCCGCGTCTCTGGCAAAGTGCTCCATCTCCGCCTCACAGCCCACAGCCTCCTCCATCTCCAGGGCCTCCACGTCTCTGGCAAAGCGCACGGAGACTGCTGCAGAATGCAGACCAAATTGAGAGCCCTGTACCTTCTAACCACTAAGTCATGGTTGCAGAGAGACCAGGAGCTTATTCCAAATGTCACAGGGCACAAGGCTGGAGTACACCCTGTATGGGATGCCAGTCCATCACAGGGCACGGGGCTGGGGTACACCCTGGATGGGATGCCAGTCCATCACAGGGCACGGGGCTGGGGTACACCCTGGATGGGATGCCAGTCCATCACAGGGCACGGGGCTGGGGTACACCCTGGACGGGATGCCAGTGCATCACAGAACACACACTCACATGCTCAGTCATATACTATGGGCTAAGTAGCCTGACTGCATGTCTTTGAACTGTGTTAAGAAACCAGAGTACAGTTATTCACTCCAAAAAGCTGCGTCAAACTTAACAGAATGACCAGAATATAGGTATAAAGTTCCAGAGCTGAGCTCAATCTGCCTCTGACTCCGCTTAAGTCGTACCGAGAGAGTCAATCTCAGCCATCTTTCAAGGAACAAACACTGTGTATTTACATACAGAGAAGTGCTAGGATGACGGGGATCTATTCCGTGTTGTTTGGCATCACGCAAATGTGAGGCTACCGGGAATAATCAGCTTCCCAGAATGAAAGCCGTGCAGGATGAATATCAATTTGGATAAAAAAATTAAGAAAACAAAATGCCAAAACAAAAAGGCATTGGGCTAAAAAGTCCTGAACAGAAGTTAGAGTAAAATACTGAGCTTAACATTTATTAAATAACGAGCCATTTCATGTGGAAATGCCATCACTGGATCTGTTAAAATAAAGTATAATAAATTACATGATCCCTGATTAGGTTTGTTCGCATCTGTGTGTCTACAGTGATATCTCATATGTCAATGATTTGCATGCAGAATTTGGCCTTAAAGGATTGTGGGGAAAAACACCCATTTATATTTAAAAGATCCTTGGTGCTCGAGGGAAAGTATTTTGGGGAGGGTTTGGGTTTATGATGTCATGTCTTTCCTGCATGCTGACACCGGGAACAGAGAGCACACAGCTACAAACAGACGCAGCAGAGATGGGTTATCCATCCATCCATCAATCCATCCTTCCGTATCTCCATCTTCTGCCTAGTCATCCTGGTGGTGGTTGTGTGGGGGTTAGTCAGCTTGCCAAAACCCCAACACCATGTAACTGTAACAAACAGTGCTGTCTCAGCTGTGATGTGCTTTATAATACTTCTAATTATGTTTTAATGATCATTTTGTAGAGGAATGCCTCTGTGACTAAGTACCTGATCAGCAGGTACAGAACAGATGGTTGGATGGATCATGCCTCTGCCTACCACTGAGAACACTGAGGTCAAGTCCTCGATATTTATTATACCACTCCAATAACTACAGTTCATTATGGGGCACTAGGGGAACTAGGAAGGACTAGTTGACCTCAATATTCTAAAAATCCTGGTAATGGCCCTGGGATGGATGGATGGATGGACAGATGGACAGAAATTAAGATATATATAACTGCAAAGAGAACTGTAAAGAGCATATTGACTAAATAATATGGCAGTTGAAGCTGCACTCGGAGGTTTTAAATAACTTCAGGGTGTTGTGTCCTTAGAAAGTGGGAGCCGAGCTTCAGACATTCACAAACACGGCAGCATTTAAGAAATAATGAAATTATGAAAATTTGGGGAACGAAAAGAAGAAATGAGGCAAACGTTGTTTCTCAATGTAACTTTAAATCCACAGCCAAGAGCCTGTTGCCTCTGAAATGAAAATGAGGAGAAATACACTGTGGCGATTCCGCTGCATGTCTGCATGTCGGGAAACCATATTTTAAATGACAGATAAGAAAAATAGTTACATTCAGCCACATTCCCGGCATCGTGCAGATATCAGCAAGGCTATTCTGTAGCACCAGCTCTAAAGCTGGAATCTGATTGGCCCTTTTGAATTTAAAAGCAAGTGTCTATGTGCCCGTACTTTAGACACCAGTCTTTCCATGGAGATCAACCCTAACCCGGCACTGCTGGTCCATCACTGTAAAATTCATGATATGTAAAAAAAGAAAAGAAAAACCTTCTGAAGCCGTTTCTATAACATGGGATGGAAACCTCACAGATCTGTAATAATTGATTAACAGTGGGATCATGGTTCCGCTGCAGACAGTCTTCTTTATTTTTAATTTTTAATTTATATATATATATTTTTACAAATATAGTAGAACACTAGTCTGTCTTTCATACTGGTTTTTTCAACTCCATATCCTCATTTTACCCCCCCCCCCCTCTCTTTCCTGTTCTATTTTAGTTATAATGCCCCGAAAAGCTAACGAGGGTCCCTTTGTTTTATGGTCATCAGTCAAGCACCTGTGCTGTTTAACGAAAATATAAACACGGGTAAGGATCATTTACTAACGTTAATCCCTTGACAGGTATGTCTTATGTGTACCTCGAGAAAGGTACTGTTTCACAGAGAATTAAGACGTATAGTCATTCTACTGTCAAGTTATCTTGAATAAAAGAAACTATACATTTACGGCTACTCTAGTGAAGTTGACGGTGAGCGCGAATATTCAACAATATTCCTAATGGGAAGAAATTGGAAAGTTTCAGAAAGAAGCGCAACATACTGAGAAAACCCAGTCTTACCCAAACACACTACAGGTTTAATAATAGTTTTCAGAAAGCGCAGTGGCGTGCATACGTGGGTGCACGCAGGAAAAGGTTTTCATCCTAAAACATTTACACTCAGCTCAGCTCATCCAAAAACCTCTAGGATGACCCCATAAAGCAAAAATGGAATCATATTATAAAAACGCTATATTGGGCAAAAATGAAGCAACAACAAAAACTAACAAAGCCTTATAAGAACTGCTTAAATATCATAATTGTACTGCTGCTTGTCTCCCCCCCACCTCAGTACATACCAGCAGTTACATTTTATATATATATATATATATATATATATATATATATATACATATATATACATATAATTTTTAACTGTATATTGTTATCTCTCTATACTATACTGCTGAGAGACTTGTTTATTCTCATCAATCACATTTCATTGTAATGTTGACCCTGTGCTAACTTAAATATGACAAAATAAAACTGAAAACAAATAGTACCAGAGCTGTATTTACTACACCCAAATCCATCAGCAAAGTGAGGGCAATGCAACCCATAGTATTGGATATTTTAAGAAGTATTGCACCTTAAATTTTACATTTTATTGTTTAGCAGAACCTTTTTTTTTATCCAAAGCGACATACATCTGAGAAAGCAGGGTAAGCAAGTCCCTGATGCAATTGGGGATTAAGGGCCTTGTTTAGGGGCCCATCGGTGACGTCACTCTGCCCACCCTAGGACTGACTGAAATTAACACGGGACTGAAATGTGCCTGTTTTATACGAAGGTCTCTGTTTGGAGACCTTTGGAACCGGCTGCTCTGCATAAATAGTATTTGAACCAGATAGCCTTACCCGGTGAGAGAGAGGCCCCACAGAGCCTCCTGGCATTGTTGCTATGGCTACGGCGTCTTCCTGAAGCCCGTGACCGTTGCTATAGCTACGGCGTCTTCCTGAGGACCGTGACCGTTGCTATAGCTACGCCGCCACGCCATGCCTGCCTGATGCGTCTCCCGTGTGTTTTAATGGCTGCGTGGGTGCTTGTGGCAGCTAGGTGAACTCCGTCTCTCTGTAGTTCATTTGGGCTATTTACTGTTGTTTTTCGCTATCTGTATTGACAGTGTTTGGGGTAACTTATTAGCTACCTTGTTGGAAATAAACCGCGTCTAAAAAACGCGCGTGTTAGTAAAAGTAAACCAGAGACTTATAAACGCGTAGACAAAGGAATTAAAAGAATTTTAATAATTCGAAGTCAAGTAATAAAATTATCTGAAGTGTGGCTAAAATCGCCGTCATGAGAAACATGCAAATGCCCAGCTTAATCTCCGTTCGTAGAGCAATCGAGTTTAATTAACAGCATTAAATTGTTATAATAATGAGCGAAATATAAGTGCACATTATTGTAATTATTACGAACTGAAATCGGTGATAATTATAGTGTGGTAATTCTTTACAGTTAAAGAGAAATGAGGAGCTCCGTCGTGCCGAGATTAAACGTATCTTTTCTGCCTGACATAAAGAGCGGCGGTGGATGGAAGGGACGCGCGGCGCCTGCGCGCAGGTGAGAGCGTTTATTCCCGACGGATTGTTCAGGAATTACCGGCATTTTATCATTCTTGGAGAGACAGTTACACAGACACAGAATCCTTATTCTTCTGCAAAAGGTTTATTAAGCCCTGGACTTAAGACATGCAACTTGATTCATTATTTTAAGCTTGCACAAATCCTTTTAAATACGTGGCATCGATTAGTTACCGGCATTTAAAGATTGTCTTGTTTCAGGCCGTGCAAAGATGAAGGTGAATCGGGGTCCAGTGATGAAGGGAATGAAAGCAGCGCGGGTCCGACCCCGTCCAGGGACCAAACAGCTCGGTGAGCTGCCAAACTACTCTTAAAAATGCATTACGCGTAAAAAATTAAAAATGTTGCCAGTTGCCTTGTATTTGTGAGACAGGGGGTGAGCTCTACGTGCTAGGAGCATGGAGTAGTCTGGGTCGTGTCTGCGTGGGTTTGCTTTGCTAGTGATAACAGTTGTGATTTTTACGAAATCCATGACAGTCGCAATTCAAAGGAATATTGCATCAGATCTACATATGCTGGGCTGCGGCGAGATAACCCAAAGCACAGCTCGAAATTGTATGAGAACTTTCTGGCCTAAGGAAGATGGGAAAAAATGACATTACCTGGCCTGCCCATTCTCCAGACCTCAGTCCCCCAGAGCTGGACAAAAGAGCCACAACAGAGCAACACTCAAGCTCCCCACATCTTTGGATTTACTACATAAGAACAAGATTTTCCAGTGTTTTACAGATGCTGTTAATTCACGGACAGATTTCAGCTGCTATCATCAAATGTAGACAGTTCCTAACCAATCTGAATCTGCTGTCGTTCCATACTTGTGTGTAATCAAGCATAATTATTATCATATTTTTGAGCTGATGATCCAGAATGCCATATTTTAAAGCAATTTTAAGATTTCAGCTTTGCAGGTATTATGTAAGGAAAAACAAGTAAGAAAATAGTGGGCGAATATATTTTTAACTGGATAAATTCACATTTTTACCCTGTTCACATCTGGACATTTTCACTGAGCAGTTTAAGTGGTTCATGGCGAATCGGCAGCTGGTCAGACTGGAACAGATAGCAGGCCGGCAGCTCAGGGATCTGTATGTGACAGAAGCATGAATTCAGTTTCATCCTAATGTGTCTCGTGCAAGACAAACGGAGCAGGATCCACTAGGAATGTTGTCAGATGTAAATGTGCGGTTGTGCACATTATTCAATGGCTCATATTGATCCATTTGTATTCAGATCTAAGGCATGGCAGGTCAGTTGCCTGAATGGGATGACAGCAAATCACACACATATACAGGCATACACACAGACGCAGGCACACACACACATGCATTCAGACACACACACATGCATGCAGGCACGCACATATGCACGCAGGCAAGCATGCACACATACACACTCGCATTCAGGCACACACACACCCACAGACACGCACACACACAGGCATACATACACTGACACACAGCCACATGCACGCAGGCACACACACACACAGGCATACACAAGCACAGGTATACACACAGGCACACACAGGCAATCAGTCACTGCAGGAACATGAAGCCTAGGCACTGTGAGGGCTGACAGTTGCCTATATCCCTGGCTATGCCTTGCAATATCTGCACTGGACCAATAGGTGTCCCCACAAGCCATACAAAATTTACACTGTCCTGATAGCTGCTGCTTGGTGACATGGTGGTGCAGTGGTTAGCGGTCATCTCACACCTCTGTGACCTGGGACTGAGTCTTTGCTGTGGCTCCATCAGTGTGGTGTTTGCATCATCTCCCTGTGTTGCCTCTACCCCCCAGTCCAAGAACATGCTGAAGCTAGTTGGAGTTACCAAATTGCCAGTGTGAGTGATTGGTGTGCCAGTGTGCCGTGCGATGGGTTGACGCCCCATCCTGGGTTTTTCCCTGCTTTTGTGGCCATAGCTTCTGGGATTGGCTCCGCCCACCCCGCAGTCCTGAATAGGATAAGCGGCTATGGAAGGTGGGTGGAAGGACGATACGGTGTGTGTGGAATAAAAAGAACAAAGTTTTATGTCACCGAGATTGGCTTTATTTAACATTGTTTAATTTTAATGCATCAGGTTTCTATTTTGAATTTTAATGACAATGCATTTAGTTAAATTTTCTAATTTAAAGGCAAAGAGACCTGAATGATCAGCACTTTCATAAGTTACACCCTTATCCACTTCTAAAGTTTTTGCACAAAAGTAGTCACACACTGTTCTGTATATTTTGATTTTACATATAGATATTATTGATCTATTGGCTTCTAAGTTTGTTTAACGAGATTCATTAGAAGTAACTAGAACAACAGCAGAGCTGAGTTCTCATCTCTCCCGCGCGCTCTTACCACACACGCTCAGACACTGAGTCCTCATCTCTCCCGCGCGCTCTTACCACACACGCTCAGACACTGAGTCCTCATCTCTCCCGCGCGCTCTTACCACACACGCTCAGGCACTGAGTCCTCATCTCTCCCGCGCGCTCTTACCACACACGCTCAGGCACTGCAGACGAGGCTTTATTAACTCGCAACTGTGTTTTTTCCACACAAGACAAAACTGTAACTTTTGCCAGCATCCTTGCCCAGCAAGTTATGGGTCAGATTGTCGTCTGTCAGGAGTGTGGGGATAAAGAATGGGGAGATCTTAAAGGAGAAAAGAGAAGGACTGACCGGACCCCAACACATGCTGAAGTGGCTTCTGGAAAGGGCGAATCTTTAAAGGAATCTGATAAAACACTCTCCCTCAGCAATCCCCAAGCAGAACTATCAAGAGGAATGCATGATCAAGTGCTAGCCAGGACCACTGAAACATACAACACATAGCAGGCTAGACTGTACATTTCATTTCTCATTTTTTTCATTTAACTTTCTTGTGACATGTGGAAGTTTGTGCACATGGTGTGCGATTCACATGGATCTGCCCACGGCTGAGCTCCACAGGGACGCTGTGACCCCCCCCCCCCTTTCCTGGCTGGTGGTACGTTCCCACCTCCTGCTCTGTCATCCCGGTGACAGTGTGGGCTTCCCACAGTCGAGGGGGGCTCATGCTGTGGGACTGCTGGGCTGTGCTGAGCTGTGCTATGTTTGTGTTCCTTTAAGGACCTGAGCTGGATAGACAGTGAACGAAAATGGGTGGTAAAGATTCACATGTAATCATTTTATATGAGGTCCTGGCAGATATGAGGTACATAGAGAGAATGAGGTGGCATCTGGACTGCTGTGGTGTAGGGCTGTGAACCCAAAAGCAGTAACAGAATGCAGAATTAAGTTGACGTTTCACACGTAACGCCTCCTCTGTGTCCTCCCTACATGCCCAGGTTCCGGAATTCGCTCAAGCAGAACATCTGCATAGACATGCTACGCAAGGGTTACCACCGGTCCTTCAGGGAGGTCTTCGCTCTGATCCAGAAGCAGGCCGCCTCCGGGGAGGCCCCGGGGCCCGGGTCAGGCATATGGCAGCCCTGGCCCCTGGAGGAGCAGCCCCGCAAACTGGAGCAGATTCAGCGCTTCCTGACCAGGGCTGAGGAAGCTCAGAGAGCAGGTAAGCAGGGGATTCTGGGTAAAGTCGACGGCGCCTGGAGCATGAGAAGCTCTCATCTGTGAATCTGCTCCATTTTTTGAGATGAATTCATTAAAGTGCCAGCGTGCTGAGTCCACATTTTATATCGAGCTGAAAGGGTCCCTGGTTTCAGGCCTTTGCGCAAAATTACCTGCTTTGTATCCGTTTCCCTGTACTGGCCATCATGATGTAAACAACGGCAACAGACGTGGTGCGGGATGCCAGATGTGTCGGGTGGGCCGTCCACGGGGGGGGGGGGGGGGGGGGGGGGGCGTCCTGTCAGCCCGGGGCCTCCCACCAGAGGTGCATTCCTGTCGACTGGGCCCCAGTGGGTGCTGGTGGGGTGAGTCCCCCCCTGAGACCCGAGCAAATTGGGCGGGCGTGTGGGACGGGAGTGTCCAGCCTTCCCAGTTTAGGGGGAGGGTTCCTGGAGGCGGAGTAGCCACAGGGTTTGGATGTCAAATGAAGACGTGGCCCATCTGCTATGGCCCGCCTCTCATTGTGACGGGTTCCTTAATGGACACCAGCCGCAACAGGAAGTGCCAGCACATGACACTGTGGGCGACTGAGGTTTGGGGAGACACTTACAAATCAGGTAGTATCAAACGATGCAGCAGGGGGCGCCGCGTACAGATCCAGACTTTAAAATCAAGTAACGTGTTTCTGTAGTATCGACTGACCCTCCGGGGGGCGCCGCGTACTGATCCTGCACAGCTTGTGCTGTGCCGATCCAGGGTGGGTTGGTTTGATACAATGAGATCTACTTTTGTGACACGATTCATTGGCAGAAGCAGCTTGTGTGCACAGTTGGCCTTTTCGCATAGGTGCGCTGAGAGGTCGACTGGCGGACTCACTCAGGCAGGGCGGCGTGGAGCAGTGTTACTGTCAGTTACGGCAACTGTGAAGCGGACCGCTGGTCTCACCGGACCAAGATCCATCTTCTAAAACACCAACTCTGCTGTTTGTTTTCCTGATTCCACACTGGGTTTAATTTTGCGGTTAAACCATCGGGTTTACCTTGGGGTTATTAAAAATCTTTTGATGCGCAGTGTATTCTGTCAGCTTTGGTGCTAAGCACTAAGAGCAGATTATTTGTTTAAAATTTCCTCTGGAGTTGTAGGGAAAAAATACTGTTGTTAGTCTGTGCTTTAGTTATGTATTGTGAGATACTTGTATGGCTAATAGTATAGAGTGACCCGCATAAAAGTAGCCTTCATGGCTATAATGTAAGGTGTCCTTGAGTGTCATGAAAGGCGCCATTAAATAAAATGTATTATTATTATTATTATAATTATTATTATAATGATGCTTTGATGTGTGGCTCCTTTCATGCAGGTCACATACTGTAGGACACTTGATATTTGAAATTCTTATTAATTAATGTTTGCTTTGTAGGTTGTTATGAAGAGGTATATGACAATCAGGTGGCCTTGGCACGTTATTTTGAGGACCAAGAGGACAAGTGGTTGTCTGACTACTTTTATGAAGTCTGCCTGGACTCTGCCCAGCGGATTAAGATGGATGGGGGGGAAAGGGAGGCGGAAGCGAATTTTAACATGGGTCGTATATACATGGAACAAGGTAAGGCCAGGCGATCCTTGCTTTCTTATTTAACTAGTGAATAACACAGATGTTTTTCTGTGTAACAGGTCAGATTGCCTCCTTGTACATACTATTTCCTGTTACCTGTGTAACAGGGCAGATCGCCTCCTTATACATACAGTACTATTTCCTGTTACCTGTGTAACAGGGCAGATCGCCTCCTTATACTGTACATACAGTACTATTTCCTGTTACCTGTGTAACAGGGCAGATTGCCTCCTTATACATACTTTTTCGTGTTACCTGTGTAACAGGGCAGATTGCCTCCTTATACATACTATTTCCTGTTGCCTCCTTATACATACTATTTCCTGTTGCCTCCTTATACATACTATTTCCTGTTACCTGTGTAACAGGGCAGATTGCCTCATTGTACGTATTATTTCCTGTCACATTTCTCGTTTCCTGTGTAACAGGGCAGATTACCTCCGTATACATACTTTTTCCTGTTATCTTCCTCGTTACCTGTGTAACAGGGCAGATTGCCTCCTTATACATACTATTTCCTGTTGCCTCCTTATACATACTATTTCCTGTTACCTGTGTAACAGGGCAGATTGCCTCATTGTACGTATTATTTCCTGTCACATTTCTCGTTTCCTGTGTAACAGGGCAGATTACCTCCGTATACATACTTTTTCCTGTTATCTTCCTCGTTACCTGTGTAACAGGGCAGATTGCCTCCTTATACATACTATTTCCTGTTATCTTCCTCGTTTCCTGTGTAACAGAGCAGATTACCTCCGTATACATACTTTTTCCTGTTATCTTCCTCGTTACCTGTGTAACAAGGCAGATTGCCTCCTTATACATACTATTTCCTGTTATATTCCCTGTTACCTGTGTAACAAGGCAGATTGCCTCCTTATACAT